ACGCGTGGCAATTATCAGGGTCGCATTAAAGGCGCGACTAAAGGAGCACCGCTTGTATTCATACACGAGAAAGAAATACGATAATATCGAAAACATAGTTTGCTCCTTCGGTACATACCTAAAATCCTTTTAGCTAATTTAATCGGACCTAATTCCATTACACAGCCGGCAGCAACCCTTAAGCCCGGTCGTTCCCATTGTTTCATTCCGTTAATTTCGCTCCTCTTTTTTACTTTACTCCCAGTCTTGCGCACAAAGGGAAACCTATCGAATGAACGAGCGTGCACATGCACACATGCACACATGCACGCGTGCGGAGCTGCACGTGCCCGCTCATACGGTCTGGGTAATCAGGCGCAATCTATTGGAAATGTTAAAAATCATTTTTTCTACCTCATCGCTCTTTGTTCTCCCCCTTCTTCTCTTTCCCGCGCACTCCTACGTGGCTTTATTAGCGTCTCTCTCGTTCTCGTGAATTCATCTTCTGTCGATCGAATCGCCGGCTCGTTCTCTCTTTCTCTCTGTCTTTGTCGGCGTATCGTCGATGGATTTGTCCAATCGACCGCAATCACGTATCCAACGGTTGTATTATGATGGCTTCGTTATAAATGGACCGTCTGACAAATAAAAGCTCGCAATGAGAAAACCGCGTGTCTGGTTAATATCCGCTCTGTCGCCGTTTTCACAAATCTGCACGAGATTTATCCTTTTTTTGTTATTTACTTTGTACTTGGTCTCAAATGCTGCGTGTAAAACATAATATGTATGCTAAAAATTACATAATTTTAATAATAAATTTATTTATTCGGTATACTTTAATTTTTAGACTTTTCTTTTTTAATCAAAAAAATTAAATTTTTTGCTCAACGATGTGAGTGTTGAATACATAAATCCGTAACATTCAAATCAGTTTTCGATAAATTTTATATTATCAAGATATTTTGATTCTTGGGAAATTTAAAAAAAAATGGAATTATTAGATTTTAAAAATTATTAAATTGCAGCACACACACTTATAATACATAAATAATGACATATATTTTGAGAAATGGGAATAAAAGAATAAAAGAGATCTCAGGGATATTCAGTGCGCCAACATGTTCTTGATTAGAGAAAGATTGAGTTAGCTACAAGTATTTTTGAGAGGGAGAGAGATAAAAATCTGTTATCTCTTAGGAATCTTCGATGTTCTAATTTGATTTGCGTCGTGCAAAGACTCGCGCTTGCTGCAACTTTTAATGATAGTCGGAATTAGACAAAGTGTCGAGTACTCTATTATACCCAAGGTTCCGTATAATTCAATAAAAAAGTAGTGTCGAGATTTTTTCATGGCTTTAAATAAATCGCGATGGAGCGTGCAACATTCGCGCGTTTGACGCACGTGCTCTCACACGTGCGTGCGATAGATACGCGTATTCGTCGGTCACAGGGCCTAGGATAAAAGGAGAGATTAATTAGGGATTCAGTCCTTTTGCAACGCCGGATTCGGCTCAGACGATGAGAACGACCTTCGAAGGGTGCGAGGAGTTCGCGGCGACAGAGACGAGGACGAGGTCGAAATGTCTCTGTGTGAGATATTGATTTGCCGGCCCTCTTTCCTGCGGTAGTCACGTGAAAGAAGAAGTGGACGAAGCTCGAAGCCGCATTCGTGCACGTATATCGATTCAACCGGCAGAGAGAACGAAAGAACGAGAGCGAGAGGGAGAGAGAAAGACGGAGACAAAATGAGAATGAGAGAGACAGAGCGCGGTCTCTCGAGCACGCGAGTCACGAAAGAAAGAGAAAGATCCGTACGTTAGTCGTGTCTTGCCTGCTCGGCTCCGTCTTGTACGTAATAATTATTAATAAAGCCGACCTTCCCGTTTTTCCCGATCAAAGTTTCACGTCGGCGCCGCGGCAATATCAGCGATTCGTTCCAGATTAACAACACGTGCTATCTGACTCATGTGCGCAGGCACATTAATTCTTATCTGAACGTAATATGCCTTTCTTGAAGCAATTTTTTTTTAATAATTTAAATTACAATATTATTATTTCGAATTATTATAATATGTATTATTATAATATGTATGTTCTTAAATATACATGTGTAATATATATGTTCTTAAACATATTTGATTAACGTTTACCTAAATTAATGTGTATATTTAGAATACATTACTATATTAATATTTTGATACTTATTTACTTTTTTCATCTCACGAAATATAATATAATATAATAATCAATAATATAATGATATGTAATAATCAAGGTATTCTTTCTCCGTGTGAGACATTAAAATAAAATAGAAAACATTTTTGAAATAATTATAAATAATATAAATATAAAGAATATATATGCTAATGTATATTGACAATGAGCATTTGCGATGAGCGAAAAAATGGTATGCATATAATAGTGCAGTGGAATTTGGATTATGAATATAATTCTAGATTATACTACAGGCTGTCAGTAAATGGAAGTAGAAATATTTCAGACGAACTACAGCAAACGAGCAAAATACATAAATCCAATAGGTTCATAAAACTAAAAAGAGTTTATATTTGCCTGGATAAAGGTTAAATCTGAATTGACACATTTCCTTTATAGATGCGGCAATTTATTGCAAATTCCATACATACGATGTAAACTTATTCGTAACATTTTTCTCTTCATCTTCTTTTTAGTTCTGAAACATATTTTGTTGATTTTAACAATTGGTTTTATTCAAAGATTATAGGAATTCTCAGATTATAGGAATATCCACGCTTATTCGGGATGTATGTTTAGACTTATTGGATACATGACATGAAAGTTTGAAATATCCGGAAATACAGTAATATTGGAATCACGCAAAAAATATTTTATTTTTGGCGCTTATAGTTGTTGCATAATATTTCGCGTTATTATGTCGAGCGATATTTTTGAAATTTAATGCATTCGACTTCTATATTAACCGGATACAGGATACAGGAACGCATTCAATTTTTACTCTTTAAAATAGTAAGCGGAACGTTACTTTATATTTCTTTCTTTCGAAGGAAAACTCGATTCTAGGTTTAAAATTTAAGTTAAAATATTTTGATACTGACTCTAGAATTTTATTTATAATTCTGTCTTGCAATATGAAAATTATATAAAAAATCAGAATATTCAAAAAATATATAAATAGACCCATTTCAATTTATTCTTTCACCTTCTACCCAATTATTATTTCTCTCATTTTAGAGAAAAATATTTCCAATAAAAATTTCATCATTTTACGTAAATAATTGAATAAATAAATATTTTAATATCTCGAACATTAATTTTAATCGACTTTCTCTTAATATTCTTCTTTATTGGCACGTTTAGTAAAATTAATTTGAGCAAAAAATTTATATGGTTTGATTTTGAAAAATATTGTCGATAAAATCTAATAATAAAACACACAATATAAAAATATATTTTATGCATTAGATTTCCTCCTAAAAAATATGGAATTTTTATTTGAAATATTTGTCTAAAATAGATAGAAACAATTTAAATAATTGGAAAGAGGAAGTGATTGAATAAATTATTTTATTGTATATGCAACATATAGATTTTTTTATATATTTTATCTATTTTATATATTCTGTATATTATTTGTAAATGTTTTACTATCCTATAAAAATATAATAATTTACCTTGTACCAAAATATGTGGCACACATACACATATAAAACGATAAATAGAACATGAATCTAAATTCTTGTGTTAGAAATTGTATAATAAATCGGCTATAAAGTAAACTGTACATACTATGAGGAATTAATTCTTAAATACTGCTCTTTCTGCGAGCACGTGTGATAATTATCGCGCTCGACACCGGATAATATCGAGACTTTAGCGGAAGCTTCGCGTAGCGTTATTTCAGCGATTCTCGCGGAATCCTGACGAAAACAAACGATCGCGCACGAAACGTTTTTCTTGGCCGTTTGTGTACGCGCCGGACGCGCACACATACGTCGTCATAACTGCCAGGTAACATGAGAAACGGCGGACTCGAGCCCGCTTTTCGTAAGCGGCTTACTTGCGCGACGGAAAATTGTACTAGTCCTGCTCGCGCGCGTGCCTTTTTCTTCGCCTTAACCGTGTATCTCTACGTCGTCGTACATAAAATGCACGACCGTGTCCCCGTTTCTCCCCCTTCAGCCCCGAAAGCGCTCCGATGTTTATGCCGCGCATAAGCAAACACAGTTTTTCTCCGGCTAATGTACGCAGGAGATCGCGAAGAGTTATGGCACGTTGCGAGTTTTCGCAGCTAGAATTATTAAATTATACGGCGCTTCACTTCTCTCTGGTGTGCGCGACGCTATTTGCTGGGTCGATTAAAGCGCTTACGATGCTTCAACAATATTCGTCATTGAATACTGTATGCATTTTTAGCATCGACTTTGCCCGAAGAAATTAATTGTGTCATTAAATTATATCCTTCAAATGAAAGCGATCAATAACCTTTTCACTATAAATTATATCAGACTTGCAAGATTTTTAACCGTTTTTTTTTTGTTAAACAATCTGATGAACTGATATCGCTAATCTAATATTCCGCTTATAATGGATGGGGTTGGCGCGGATCGCGAATACTGGATGTGTACGTTTTTTGACTCTGTATTCAGATCCAGCAGATCTTTGCGCGATTTATTTGTGTTTTGTTGATAACGGGTCGTACCGCGCCCCGCTGCCTGTCGATATTTTATTTTATTTTATTTTTTTTCATCGTCGAGTCGCGACGTATTCGCAATCTCGACATTGATAACGTCTGTCGTTTGCTCGAGCGTGCTTGTGCATTGCGTAGTTTTGCGCTTTATCGAGTATATCTGTCTGTCTGTTCGCGGCTTGCGCTTAACCCCGCGCGTCCCCCTTTTAACTCTTCCCCCCCTGCATCGCCGTCACCCCCTATTATCCCCGACCGCTCAGAAGCCCGAAACAGAAAGCATTTTAAGCCTTTGCATCCGCAGTAACGCGAGTTTTCGCTTTTGGTATGTTTCCAGAACAGCAGGAACTGGAGTTCGACCGCGCGGGAGGAGCCAGCAGCGCGCCGAATAAATGACGTAAATCCGAGGAACGGAAGCGCAACGTCACTCGCTAACTCGCAATTCTCTCCTCTCCTCTCCCCGATCCCCCCACCCCGCCCTGCCTTACCCCCCCGGAAACCTCCCTCTCTCTGTCTCGTCGTTTCCGCGCCTTCCCTCCTGGAATACCCCTGCCCCCTCTTTCGTTCGGGTCCGATCCCGACACGACCCGAACCCCAAGCGCGACCCAGCCACCGGACCTTTGCCCTCTCTCGTCGCCCCGTACGTCCGCTTTGTCGCGCCCGTCGTCTTTACGCGCTTACAACACCACTCTCTTACCCCTCCCGTTGGTCGTTCGTCTCCGTTACCGATCTCTCTTCGCACGCTTCTTCATCGGCATCCGCGTCCGTCGTCTCCTTTCCCGGGCATCCCGCCCCCGGAATTCCGAAATAACCGACTCGCACGCCGACAGGACGGCGCGTAAGGGTTTCCTCCACCTTTTCACGCACGGAGCGACCCTTCTTTCTCCCACCCTCGTCTTCTTCTACTTCATCGACAGCAGCGGCACCGATAGACCACCGTGGTGAACACGGTCCTGCTCCTTCGCTGCATCCGACTACCAACACCAACGTCCTCGTTGTACTCCTTCCAGTAGATTCGCCATCGCGAGAAACACGCGTTGGCTGGAAACCGGCTTGAAGGACGCCACGAGACCGGCTTTTCGAGACACGCATACGTAGGCAAAACACACATACGTAAACGTACACGCGCGCACGTCGGTACACCCTCAGCAGCGACCAACTGGCAGCCTCCTGTGTGTAATAAAGGAAGAGGAGATACGCGTACAAAAGCGCGCGCATCTAGAGAGCACACTCCTCTTGGTCGACGTTTAGCTTCGAAGGCTTTCAAGCTTTGCCCGACTATTACCACTACGTCCTTGGCTTCTCGAGTGCTGCGTGCTGCAAGATCAAGGGAAGATAGAGGAAGTATAGAGCGAACGAGGAGTCGATAGACGAGATCGACGACCTTCGCCATCGCCTCGTCGCGAAGCCAGGAGAGTATAGCGGCTGTGCCATCTCGCCTAAAATCGACCGGAGCCTAATCGCTGTCGATATATAACTTCACCCTCGTCTTCTCGCTTCTTTTCCCCTTTTTTCTCGGTGAGATATCCTCTCCTTTCCTCCCTTCGCCTATAGACATCCGGCTTTCACACCCACTCGGAGATTATCGGAGCGGAAAACGCGTGTGCCACGTCAACCTCCTACGCCAACGGCCTACGAGAGCAAAGAATCTCAAAATTGCTAACCATCGACGACGCCTAAACCCGCCGCCGCGATCCTACGATTAATTCGCCGCGACGCGGAATCAATAACGGCCCGGAGAGACACGACGCTGATAAGCCACGCTCGAAACAGCCGACGTTGCTGATAAACGTCGACGCTCCGCGAGACGACGATTCGCCGAAATATCACGCGGCAACAACAACGACGAGAGCCAAGCGCGACTTTAACGCGAGGAAGATCGAGATCGCAAGAGACCCAGTAAGTGATTTCCCACGCGGAGGATCCACGCACAAGAGACAGTTGCGGGTCGTCGCTAGGCGCGTACATGAGACATTAAGAACGTCGAGCATCGTGCTTAAACGGAAGATCTGCCGTCTGTAAGGTATAATTAGTTTGAAGTAGTTGAACGACTCCGAGGCACACGCGGGATTTCGCGTTTCTCTGTACGTGTAGAAGGTGATTGAGAGAGAGAAAGAGAGAGAAAGAGAAGGAACGAATGAGCGTGTGCACGTGAGCGAATGGTAAGAGAGATCGACGAGACAGGGTGAAAGCGGAACAAGGGTGGACGTTGCGAAATCCCGCGAGCGACTGCCGACGAGCTCGTGTCGCGAGTTGCGATCGTATCCCATAAACCGAAACGTATATATCCTTGGCAAGATCAGTCGACGCGAGTGCACGCGACCGGGGAAAAAGGCGCCGATCATCACGCGAGGAGGAGTTTAGGAAGGAAGAGTGGGAGAGGGAGAGGAGAGTTATCGGTGGTGAATTCGGTGGTGGAGAGTCCCGGGACTTTCTCTCTCTAACGGTAGAGGTCAACGCACGAACGGGGGATTCTTCGGTCTTCCAGGAGTGGAAGAATGGCAATGGTCAACATGAATAACCTACTGAACGGCAAGGACTCGCGGTGGCTGCAACTGGAGGTCTGTCGGGAGTTCCAGCGCAACAAGTGCACCAGGCCCGACACGGAGTGCAAGTTCGCCCATCCGCCAGCTAACGTCGAGGTGCAGAACGGACGGGTCACCGCCTGCTACGACAGTATCAAGGTAACGAACCGTTGCATAATCGAGTTTCCGTGCTCGCGCATAACGAGCGCGTTCGCGCGGAGCGGAATCGCCGGCCGATAAACTCCGCCTTCACTTATCCGACACCCTCGGATAATCGACCAAAGTTACCGCCGCTATCCCGCTGAAATCTGAAGCTCTATCATTATCATAGCTATTTGTATCAATGCGCGTATCGGTTCTCTCGACAAGTTGGACAATTCTCCCTACTTGATCTCGATTCTGTTGGATAAGTGAAGTTGAACCGTGCGGCTAATTCAATCTTGCTCTCGTCCCTCTTTGCTAATAGTTTTCTAATGTCGAGTCAAAAATGTTGAGTCACGGTGCGATAATAACGATGCTGTTGCAATTTTGAGAAAAACTACTTTGATTCTCTTAGATACGCATCGTTTTGATTTATACAGGGTGTCCCATTTTAATGCCCCACCCCAAATAACTTTCTTATTTTTAATTTTAGAAAAAGATGTTTCAGACAAAAGTTGTATGGTTTCGAGGGGGACATAAGATGGTACCATTAATTTGATCTTGAAGAGTCACATGAAGGTTACGTGAAGATCATTTTCAATTTCTTAAATGGAACACCCTATATATTTTTGCATATTCTTGTAGCTTATCTCGAGAGCTTTCCAAAACACTATAAATAAACATTTTTTCATCAAGTACGTTTCGAGTAATGAGGCTTGAAATCATTTCTTAATTTTACATAAACCATAAAATATCTTGTAAAATATTCATTTTTTGATTATCTTACCTTAATACTTTTATGTACAAAATAATGAGAGAAATCCATTGGTGCAAAGAAAACATACAGTTGTTTTTAAGAAAAAAATATGTAATTTGCAATTAACAATTCCATATTTTTTCTTAAAAACAACTGTATGTTTTCTTTGCACCAATGGATTTCTCTCATTATTTTGTACATAAAAGTATTAAGGTAAGATAATCAAAAAATGAATATTTTACAAGATATTTTATGGTTTATGTAAAATTAAGAAATGATTTCAAGCCTCATTACTCGAAACGTACTTGATGAAAAAATGTTTATTTATAGTGTTTTGGAAAGCTCTCGAGATAAGCTACAAGAATATGCAAAAATATATAGGGTGTTCCATTTAAGAAATTGAAAATGATCTTCACGTAACCTTCATGTGACTCTTCAAGATCAAATTAATGGTACCATCTTATGTCCCCCTCGAAACCATACAACTTTTGTCTGAAACATCTTTTTCTAAAATTAAAAATAAGAAAGTTATTTGGGGTGGGGCATTAAAATGGGACACCCTGTATTGTAAGTTCAAAGAAAAAAATCTTATCGCTGGATTACCTTCGTACCAAGAATAGATAAAGTATTTAAAGCTGATATTTAAAAAAATTATCGACAAGTGATCGCGAGTCTCTCTGAACATTGAGACTCATGCTTGCAGATTATTTTCTTCTAAAATACGTCCTAAAAATCTTATTGCAACGCAGAAGTTAACCGCGCGCATTAGGGCTCTTTTCATCCCGCCACAATCGATTCAAATGAATACATGTGTAGGATCGTCGATCGATCTCCCGCCTGCGCTTTCCGATTGCTGATCTCCCGATACAAAGCCGATAATTTGTAACGCCACACTGCGCGATAAGGAATCGCTTGTAATTTACGACGGGTAATAAGTCTCTTATCGCCGATCAGCGCTCCAAGAGAGCGGGAGGAGGGGGCAGGTTTATGGATTTTAGAATATTCCGTCTCTCGCGCGCGTTCCCGAAGCAAGGCGCGATTAAATGAACGCGAGAAAGAAGGAGGAGAGGCGCGGCCCGTCTCGTCTTCCCAGCGCAGTTTCTCGCCGATATTGAACCGGGGAATTGAATTCGCAGTTATTAATAGCGACAATTATTCAACGCGCGGGAAGCGAGAAAATACCAATCGACATCGCCGATAAATCAGACGCGGGAGGCAACGAGCATTATGCAAAAAAATCGAAGGAGACCGTCGAATCAACGTCCGTTCGCGCCGTTACTTTCAATGGTGCCCTATTGTCTGATGGCACTTATACACGCACGCTTGCGATTAGATGAAACGGGGAGGGAGACAGAAAATTTGTGTCTACGTGTGCGCATATATATACGTGCGTGCGATACGCGTGGGGCGCGGTAAAGTCGTGTAATTGCGCGAATATACATATATATACCATAGATACACCTCTCTTCCGCAATAAACTTCGTCGTTATCTTCTCTTCCGCGATAATCTTAGATTATAAGTGAAGTCGCAGAGATTAGCGGAGATAAAGCGTAATGCTTTTGCGACGTAACGATCGTTCAGTGCGGCTATATTTTCAAATGGAATTTTAGATTTCACGACCGATGAATGACGTTTTTTCCCCCACTAACGGTTAGTATTATCGTCGCGAAATTTATTTCAATGGAAAGCTTAATGCCAAAATTTGCATGAAATATTTTATGTCGACGAGAAAAATTGTGCGTTAAATAATGTATATTCTTTTTTTTATGGCGATTTAAAAATCCTCTTTAAAATCATAAAAGTATTCGCAGTTGCTCATTTAAATATGTTATGAATACTAACATTGGAACAAGCGTAAAAATTTCTTACAACAGTTGTCATTAATCTTTATTGCTGCAAAATATGATAGTCTATCAATATTCATAGTCATACATTATTAAAACAGTGTTTCCTTGCTTGCTATTAGCATTAGCAGGGACACGAGATATTTTTGTACTCTATCAATTATTTCGCGCAACGTTTTATTATTTAATTCAATGTTCAATTCAGATTGAATTCTTGCTAAAAACGAAATATCTCTACAATTAGATTTCCCATTTATCGCTGGGGAGCAATCCGTCCCAAATCCGTCGAAAAAATCCAATTACTATTATTCGTATTAATAGCACGTGACTTGTATGGATCGATTTTTGCGACTAAAATTGTTAATTTTCGCCTTATGCACTAACGCGCGCCGTTCTTTTGTCGCTTTTTCAGGTTCGGTCGAGCGAATACACGCACGCATACGTGAAATGCACGATTAGATAGCAGGTGACAAAAAGATAACAGCCACGGGGAGCGGCTTGCTGTCATATCGTCTGAATATTCTCGAGGCGCGGTTCAACGGTCGATTCGTTTTTAGAGACAGATACACATGCACACATACGCACACATATTGTGATCCGTACGTTGTGCAATCGTGTATGCGAGTCGCGACAAGCGGGGCCGAGTCCCATTTAATTTTGGAGGCTATTAATGTCGCGGATAGTGCCTGAAAGACGGCGTTTGTCCGTCGAAATTTGGTCGTTTCTTTGCTACTTGGTCTCCCGCGCGTTCTTCCTCATTAATGGCGCTTATTACATTTAATCGCTCCGAATGAATGGAGCGACCAATGCGCGCCCGGCCAAGCAAATGCGGGCAAGTGGCATTTATACAAGATGATTCAAAAAAAGTACTAACGATTTACAAGTTATATTCTCGCGCGAGAATCTGGAACAAATATTGCTTTAAGCAGAAACTTTAATGGTAATTATTTTATTCAGCATCTAAAAAATAAAGTGAAATTTTCCTGTCACATATGACAATAGCTCTCGTGCATTAAATGCTTTATTGAAGATTTTTAAATATATGTCTGAGTAGTTGAAGAATATAAAAGTCTAAATTATAAATATACTTGAAAATTTAGTTTGTCAACCTGCACATCTCTCTTCGATATTTTTCCTCTGAAATGACATATTTTGACGAATTCTCGACGAGAGTAAAAATTGAATCGTCCTATACGCCATATACAGGATTCGAATCCGACGAGCGAGACGTTGCTAAGAGTTTCCGCGGTATATGAGGGAAAGACCGAGGTCGTTGCCGAGAGCGCCAATATTACCCCGAAGAAATATTAGCAATAAACCATTGCATTACGTACATCGGACGCCGACGACTGTCTGCCGGGCTTCCCGAAGTGTCTCCTACTCGTAGTCCATCCTCTCGCGCCATTTAGGTGCCAGAAACGCGGCTTTCTTCGCATTCCGCCGATGAAATAAAGGCTCATTTTTCGACCAGGAAATAAAGAAGAGAAAGAGGGAGAGAGAGAGAAGAGGCTATCGCGTCGTTTTCCCGCGTCTTATCGCTCCTCTCGCCTGACGCGGATGATATCTTCGGAGCAAAAGCTAGATTAATTTCAGAAACTCGAGGGTGGAGGACATGGATAACATAAGTTGGCGTGAAGCATGAGAATCTAATTTTCCATTTGCATCGATTCCGCGTGTATTTACTTTTACTATCCTTGTCTCTTATTTCTGAGGAAAATACTAGGCGCCCTTCCCCCCTTTCTCCTCGTTATGCCGCTATACTTCCCCCGATAAGAGAAAATCTATTGTCATGTTAACTGCAAGAATTACGCGCTGCAAAATGATAGAAGATTGTACCCCGCCCTCGTAACTTGCCACAAGAAGCCACTAACGACTATAAATATGATCTCTCCGCGAGCATTTCCATGTTTTAATATTACCGAGGGATGTCTTTGTTGTTTCTCGAATATTTTCTCAAATGATGAATATCTTGAAACTTTATTCTAAATTCGTCGAAATTGTACGCATATCTCTGCTGACATTATCTTATATTCGTATCTTACGATACTAGAAAGTATCACATCTCGATAAAATCGATTTATGTTGATAAAATTGATTTATAGCACTTTTTCGTATTCCGTAGACTCTGTGAAGATTTTTTATAGAGAATTTATACATTATTGCGTGACAATGGAAATGATAGAAATCTTGTACACGCTATATTGGAGTTTTTATCGCTTTTATTCATCTGGCAAAAGAAATCGTATAGACAAGATATCGTACTATCTATGAATGAAGAGAGCCAGGACCAGGAAATATTTAAAAGAGATATAAAATAGATTATATTTTACAATGGTGTTGCACACAATGCGCTATTATATTCACATTTTTTTATTAAAGCAACATTCGTAATTGCACATAATTTTGTTCGGGTTAA